TGACGGACAGCCAGTACTAATCTGTCCAGAGCCGCTTGACATGTTTGGGAGCTGTCACAGATTAGGGCAATATCGTCAGTATAAAGCAAGTCAAGAAATAGTTCTCTTGGGAGCAGATCTAAAATTTTTAAGTGGTGTCATATGAAAGCGATTTTCATGACTTCGTCGATAGCGAAGTTGAAGAGGAAAGGTGACAGCGGGCATCCTTGTCTCACACCGCTGGAGATATTAAAGGGCGACGACAGCTTGCCGTAAACCCTCACTCTGCTCGAGCTAGGTGCTTATAATGCTCCGACAATATTATCATATTTCTCGGGCGCACCCTTCCTGAGTAGACAGTCCCAAAGGACACGTCTATCAATCGAATAGAATGCACCTTTGATATCGAAGAACACGACAACGGTGGTCCGCCAATATATGTGACGGTGTTCCAACAATGGACGCAAAGTGAAGATGTGGTCAAAGCAGCCATGACCCCAACGAAACCCGGCTTGCTCTTCACGATTCTGGCCTTCAAAAGTGCCAGTCAGTCTGGGAAGGATGACAGAGGCAAGCGATTTGGAGGAGATGGAGGTAAGACTGATTCCTCTATGGCTGCCGCATTCCGATCGTGAGCCTCCCTTGAAAATTGGGACTGTGACCGAGCGGCTACAGTCGGTTGGGACAGTTTTCTGCTCCCACAGTTTCACTAGTAACTCGTATAAATCATCCACAAGAGCACTTCTACCGAATTTGAAGAGGGCTAGAGGTAGGTCATCTAGTCCCGCGGCTTTATTTAACTTCAGCAGTGCGATCTCACGTTCGACTTCTGAGCGAGAGGGTGGATCCAAAGGGACAGCCCAGGGAGCAGGGCGATCAGTGGCCGGCGAGAAATCTAACAATCGCGACCGATTAAATTGCATTTCAAAGTTCACAACCCAACGCACCAAGCGTTTTGACAACTTGTGGATAAGTTGTCTACTCACGTCACGTGTAGTTTCACTAACACCAGGTATCTGCTGCCCGTTTCCCGTATCAGAGGGAATTATCAAGGGCAGCGGCCATTTCCATCTCTGATGCACGATCAGACCACGAAGATTTGCAGTCTCTCTTCAGACTAGCACGAAGTTTTGCCCGGAGTTTACCGCGAGTCTCATTATGCACGCCTCCAGCCGGAATATGCCGGCGAGCATCCATAAGTTCCAGAGGTCGCGAAGAGACCCAATATCCATGTTGGCGATTAGACTTACCACATGAGGGTTTGCCTGCTGTTAGTAATGTCTGGTGAACATGAGACCAGTGAGCTTCAAATGTATCATGAGCGCTTACTCAACTCGCATGACAACGTACATAGTTAAGCATTCAGACCAGCTGGTTTCGTTAGTTGGCTGTTGTCAAAGCGCTCAGAGCGTCGTCGTGAGCGTTCGCCAAAACACATCCGCAGGTTATCACATACAAGTGCATGGTCAGTGTCCACACATGTGCTCCAAATCGAGTGACAGTTCTGGACGCAGCCACTCCAACGGTAACTGATCGCAATGTGATCGATTTGGGTCCAAGGCTGGTGGACACCAAGTCACCCTCCGGCGAGTGCTGTGTCGGAAATTAGTGTTTGCATGAAATAAGCGAGCACCTTCACACAAATGAAGTAACTGCTCACCGTTATCATTTCGGAAGCCTACACCATATTGGTCGCACAGATGCAGCTCAGTGGTGGATAATTTTCCAACTTGAGCGTTCAGATCCCCAGCCAGCACTACAGTGTCCGAGCTTCTTCTGTGACGAAGGAACTCGTTCAGTTGGCGGTAGAAGCTGTAGTTAACCGAATCGTTGCTAGAGTTTCTGGGTGCATAGGCAGCGATAGCGAATAAACACCTGTTAGTCCCGCGCGACTTCAAAGCTTTGAACAAGCCAGTCAATCGGACCGCACACATCGGGCTACTGATTGGGATCCAATCAACCAGAGCAGCTTCAGCCCGGGGAGTCGGGGCAATACCAACAGCGGCTTAGCCGGTGCTCGAAGCTGCATTGTCACCGGATAGACGTAATGAGAAAGTGCTGCTGGTGTTACCTGAAGAGCTCGAGTCTTTCAGGCGGGTTTCCGATAAGCAGCAGATATCGATCGAGAGGGTCTCTAATGTTCGGGCAGGCACTGTCTGTTGTCTGGTCTATAGCAAGGTGCGTACATTGAGGCAGGTCAACCTGAAGGAGGATCGAGGGCTCCAAATGGAAGCCGACGAACTGGGCTTGGGCACTTGTTTGGACATTGGCTTTTCGACAGTGCATGATTGACGCTCCGCGTTCACGTGTGAGTTGAAACTAGAAGGCAAAAGCCAATCAAAGCAAGGTGGAGGCGAGTCAAGAATTGGGGGGCTGAAAACAAGGGAGATAAATGTGAAGCTGAAACGGGAGGATAAGGGTGAAAAAGCGTAAGAGGGGGAATAAGAAGATGGGAAGTCTTGAGCATTAGCATCCAAACCGCCATCCGCCGTGCTCGGTGCAGCAGATAGTGCACCGTTGATTATTCTCTGAGGTGGCTAGAGTAGGAAATTGTCTGAGGAAAAATTCAGAGTATTGCGTGAGCAGGATACTGTCAGGTTGTCCAGGACTAGACAGGAGAACGATTAGGGTTCTCAACGAAAGCCTTTGGTTCAAAAACCTGACCGCAAGGCAGCGGGTTTGGCGTTGAGCTACAAGGAGTCCGTTTTAAGGAATAAGAAGCCACCCTCATTTAAACCCCCAATCTAAAGGACCAGGAGGCTGAGTTTGTCCGGTCTCTAACCATTGAGCAATCTGGTATGAGTGGCTATGAAGGTGCAAAAAGCACCACCCAGCATAGCTCAATGGATCTCTGAAGCACGCAAACCATCGCACTACGGTAAGGTCCAGCATCACTGCGATGGGCGCACGCGAGTACTAGGCAGTGATACTCAAGACAGTCTGTTAGAATAGCAGACAGCATTGAATAAGTTGCGTTGGCTTGTGCGCGCACTACGTATACCCCGTCACCGCTTACCGAGGAGGGTCCTGTTTTGTTTTCCACATGTAGGGTGGCCTAAGGCCCGACTTGTGGCATTGGGAACTTGGTATTGGGAAATGAATTCACTGACGACCAAACCCGATGCCATCGGTCCGTCTTGCTCTTCAGGCTGCAGTCCAAGTGAAGCGCATTACGCTTGGCTTGTTAAGTTACAGGACATGGTTCACAGCCAGCACCGGTGGCGCGTCTGCTGCTATCTCCTAATCGGAGTGTCTGTTTTAAGAGTGCTTGGTGTTGAGTTATATGCGAGGTAATGGCTGATTATGACGCGGGACAGTAAGAGCCGCAAGGAAGCTATCTCGCAGACGCCAGGTTATCTTTGCACGATAGCCAGCTGTTTGTGATGGTATGATGTTGACAAGGTGTAGGCGCTTTGACCATGAATGTTTGCTTAGGGCATCAATGTTTTCTGGTAGGTCCTTCTCTCCCTCTTACTATTCTTTGTTCCTTAAGTCATTGTGATTGTACGTTAGCGAAGCATAAGTCCAAATGGCTGATGTAGTGCTGATGTTGATGTCTGGTTAGCGTCGCGCAATACACAGTATTGAAGGGAGGAAAACCTCACTCCCGCTTGCGTTGCACTTGTTCTAGTGCAATACTTGGGCGTTGTCAAATCGTTTTGTACATCAACTCCTCGATATACTCTCCCACTGCTTTTGCGCCTATTAGTTGCTGTACAAAGATTGCTGGCGGCGCCTGTCGCTAGTTGCACCGTGTAATATAAACAACTGCAAACAGCCAGAGAGGAGTGCTAGTAGATTCAAAACGTCAAGGGTGGAAGCGAGTAGTTTGAAACGTCATCCTTGCATAACGTGGAGTTAGGGAACTAGTAGGCTGATTCCTCACCGTTCATACTAGTAAATCCGAATGATCTGTCAATCAATACGCAAGTAGATTCTGTTTTCTCAGGAGTGATCCCGTAACAGTCTGGAGATTACACCGGTTTGCCTGAAATCGTCGTATAAAATTCTAATTAAAGTAATCACTTCATAATAGACTTGGGTGATCGATGTAGAAGGTTGAACTGCGTTCGTTTGTCAGATTCGATGAACACCCTTTTGTCGATCCATCGGCTGGTCTCCATTGCGCGACAGCAATGTGCTGCGTCTTGGCCATGCCTACCGGTATCCGTGTTATAGCTAGAACAATGGAGTCTTTTACTGCACACGCAAAAGTCTCCCTACATCCATCTGTCATCTTTTTGAGTATTGCAATCTGGGCTGCCACGAAAACCTTCAGGATAGGTGATACACCGATTGAACGACGTAGTCTAGGTAGCAAAGAAGAAAATCAAACGAGAGCATAACTATCTATTTGGTTTAATCCTGAGTATTTCGTAGCTTAGGTAGATCCGCGAAATTTGCGTAGAATTCGCCTGAGATCAGCAGTATTGGCGCCATTCAGTGACTCAAACTGCTCCGGTAACAAAAGAGCTTTCTCCAGGGCACTGCTACCTCTAGCGTTTTAAGCCGCATTGAACCAACTGAACACTAACAGTGGAAACTAAGACTACTGGTCCCAGGGAGTACCAACTCTGTGATCTTAGTGGCTGAATAGATCAAGTCAACAGAAAGACGGTGATCGAACTGTGATACAAAAAGTGAAGGATGTCACACGCACTGGAAACCGGCATGTGAACATTAATGGCTGGCTCATTCATCTACGTCCATATAAGATGCACAACAGGCAAATGATTGACGAATGGATCAGCTTGACAGAAAACTCAAATGAAGGCATTTCTACCGTCTTAAAGTCGATCCAGAACAAAAGAGAAAGGGAGAGAGGTGAACGACAAGGATAACTGGTGCTACTACCATTCCCATTAGACACAGCAGTTACTAACAAAAAGTAGCTGATAATTTATGCGAACTATGACTCCCATCAGAGTTGAAGTTTTAGGTCACACACTCGAGTTCCATTGCTCGGGTTTCCGAATTGGCCTACACTTTGGAGATGAAGTTATGAGCATAAGCGAAAGTGGTAGTCACGGAAATGTATATATTTGAACTGGAAATATGCGTTGAAGGTAAACTTCAATATGCTGAATAATAATATCAATATGGAGCAATAAGTTCAAGGAAAAACCCAACAAATGCTACCCAAAGAATCCAACCGATAGATGATCGCATCAAGCAGAAACGAAGAGAAAAATACTCTGGTAACGCGCTTCGCTTAGCTGACCATAGCCGCGGTTGTCACATCAACGAGCAGCACAGTTGTGTAGGTTCTTCATTAGATATGTAGAGACTATTTCTGGGAGTGGGGCAGAGACAACTAGAGAAGACCAACTACTGAGGCAATAAAAATGTAACTCAAAAACATATAAACGTGGGGGGTAGAAAAGATGGAATGCACAGATAACATGGGAAACGTAGAACAGTATGTGTGTAGACAGCTCCAAGCAGTTTATCTGAGAAAGAGCGTTAGGCAAAGAGTAGCACTAAGACACCCACAGTTAGAAACAATATAGTCACAGGCATGACCAACAGCAGGTCGCTTGTGGGTGGTGACGGGACGGCCACTTCGAAAGGAGGCATATTGTCCCAGCTGTTGAAATCGTCCCCATCAGTACATTTGAGCATGGGATGAGGGACTGCGGTGTGTTCCAGATAAGTGTCCCGATCCCCATCGTTGGGCAACCTGAGCAAAAGTGCAGAGGAAAATGCAAAGAGAGCACAACTCATGAGAATTCGCGTGGCAAGTATGAGCGCCCGTATCGACCGATGTGCTATTGGTGTTGGGATAGAAAAGGAGTAAAACATGTAGAACATGACAACCAAAAATAGCGTTGAACTGCAGGACGCTTGTGTATGAATTAAACGTACACATTGTAAGATAAACGCGCTGAGATTAATGGGTACCGTACGGGTTGGAGATAACAGTAGAGATCGTTCAAATTTCCGACAAGGTACCGCCATAAAGGTTAGGAGTGACTGCACAGTGAGTTACCAAAGAGTTACTCAGGCCTCAGATAAGCAGGAGCTCCAAGGCAGAAAACTTTAAACACATGTAGTAGGTCTATGATGTGAAATTTAAAACCATTCCCTACCTACCTGAACGGTTCGTCGTATGCGGCACATTAGCTGAAGTGTGACCCTGACCCTCAGCTAACTTGTATTGATGATGAGACATCTGCCTTAAAGAGACCGGAGAAAATAGATCGCACTATCTTATATATTTGCGGAAAACATTCACTTGTCCGAATGTCACATAACCGTAAATATAACGAGACATTTTAATACGAAAGAATTATTACTTCTAAATGTTGTTCAGTCAGTCCACTGTTGCATTTCCTGACAACAAGGACGTAAACACTTCATTTGTATTTTCTACGCCCTTAATCCACCCCGGCTTGCTTCGCGACGGCATGAGGAGTATTGGCTCGACAAAATGCCGGTGAATTTGATGATGCCAGCTGTTTATCGAAAATATCTCTGGGTTGGAGTCAGATCAGTCGACAGAAACGTCTCGTTGATTAAAAACAACCTAATAACTGGACTATAAACCCAAATAACTATTTTCTTGGCAATTCATTGCGCGATTTGCATACACTGTTGATCGTACGACATCAAGTTAACTTGCAAACCTACTATAGAAACTGCTGTAAGTACTTGTTTTATTATATATTTTAACATGCAGGTAATGCTGCAGAATACAAACTGCCACGATCGACCCTATAGTCGGGTGCATTGCACTGGGACAGAGCAATAAGTTTCCCGATACGCAGTAGACAGATTATGTGCGGACGATCTGGCAAGAAAACGTGAATTGTAATCTTTTTTGAACACATTTAGTTATTTCGACTCACAGAACCCTATATCAGCAGCACACTACAGCTAACAAGGGTCGCTATACTCTGACTGTAAGCTTGGAACTCCGTCGACGATACTGGAGGGCGATGATTTTCGATGACTACATATGTGGTTTAAATTGGCACTAGAGTGTTGGGTGATTGTGTGGTTTGCGGAACTGAAGGATAGCAGGCGCTCCCTGAGTGATGAGGCACGGTGTGGTCGACCTGTGGAGGCCATCACCGCGGGAAAAATTGCTGTTGTGCAAGAGATGCTGGAGTATGTGCAACTGACTGTGGTAAAGCTGGTGAACACCATCGAGATCTCATCGGCACCAATCTGCACCATCCTACATGAGGATCAAAGCCTTAGAAAGGTTTATACAAGTTGGGTACCCCACCACCACAGTGAGGACCAGAAAGCAGCTTGGGTGGATTGAGGCCGCGCCATACCTGCCAGGTTTGATGGTGGACATTCCAATGCTGTTTGTGAGATCCTCAGTGGTGATGAGACCTGGGTGTACAGCTTGAACCCAGAGACCAAGCAACAATCAGCTCAGTGGACGGCAGTTGATGGCGCTGCCTCAGAAATTCCGGCATCAGCGCAGTGTGGCCAAGCGGATGGTGGCTGTGTTTGTGGCCAAGGTCGGTCATGTGGCTACTGTACCTCTTGTACGGCAACGCACAGTCACCGGAGACTGGTATGTCATAAACTGTCTGCAACAAGTGCTGGAAGCTGCAGCCAGGCAATGTCCAAGGACTCGACCGCGAGGGACCTTGCTGTACCACGACAACGCGCCTGCACGCAGGTCCCATGTTGTGGTAGATTTTCTGGCTGGAAAATGCATCCAGGAGATGCAGGACCCATCGTACAGTCCAGATCTGGCTCCGTGTGACCTTTCTGTGTACCCAAATAGCAAGCGTGTGTTAGGTTAAATCCGCTATGAGTTTCCAAAAACTGCAATAGAGGCCTTTATTGAGCTGCTTGAAGAGTTATCCGCTTCGGCATGGTCTAGCTGCTTCTCCAAATGGTTTGAGTGTATGGAACTGTGCATGAACGCTGGTGGAGAGTACCACAAGAAAATGTAATGTTTACCTTGCTGTAAAAAATAAAACATCTTTGTAAGAGGTTAGGGTCAGCAGTGATTTATATGGATAACCGTTTTCTGTTAGCATCCGGTATGTGAGAATAAAATCTCTGCAGTCGTCAGTATTCTGAGGAGGACATACGGATTGAAGGAAAGCGCAATTCATAGTTGAGATTGGGTGGTCCATGCGTTACTTTGGTAGCTCTTCTTTGGGGCTGCTCCAGAAGATGAATATCTGGTTTTGACCATGGACGACAGGCTTGAACCAAATACTCAACGTAGGGACGAATGTGTTAGTTAATCTGCAGGAGTACTAGACGTGATTCAAAGCATCAAGAGATCGACACAAAAGTTTTAAGTTCAAGTCCGCCACATATGCTGCCCTGTAACATTGGAATGAACTGCCTAAACTTTCTTGGACGATGATACCCAATTCTCTTTCACTAGTTACTTGTTGTAGGGCGTGCTGCTCCAAACTATACTTGTTGTTGGAGCTGTTGCACAGTGTTAGTACGTGATAATTTTCAAGGTTAAGGAGATCTGGTTCATTTCTGCCCATTCGTAAATCTGGTCCAGATCCTGCTAGAGATAGACACGGCCGGACCGTAACCTTAAGGATCACAAGTCTGGCTTGTAATCTGAGAGCGCGGGTTCGAGTCTGCGTAGGGACCGGGCGATCCTCGCTGTATCCTTAGCCCACGTGCGACTGGTGGTGGTTTATCTACAGTGAAGCGTCGGTACTGCGTACTGGAGTCCTGCCGAGGCTTTCTTACGTTCGGATGTTGAGCGAATATTGCTACAGATTTTGACATCACCCGCAAATATTTTCCTAGGGAATTAAATGTTTGTTGGGTGGTCACTGATATAGGACGTAGGCGCGGTCAGATGCTGAGCGAATTGCTCCCGATATTTTAACATCATCTGCAAATATCTGCATAATGGCTAAAATTATTTCTGAGGTCATTGATGTAGACTAAAAATAGTAGCGGGCCGAGGATGGGTCCTTGCAGTACACCACTGGAGATGCACAGGCTTATGAAGTGAGTGTTGGGGATTTTTAGCTAGATTGTTCTGTCGTGAAGATAACCTTCCAAGCAGATGATCAGAGAACCGTTGATACCGCAGGCACAAATATTTAGGAGCAGAACTGTGATTGACTCTGTCGAATGCCTTAGGAGTCAAAGTAAATCCATGGAAACGAAAACGAATCGCCAGCTAAGTAAATCACAGGTAGAGGGACTTCTTCGGCAGCCGCCATGATCCATAAGTCCCGAGCAAAAAGCAGATTGGTGAGACAATATCGTCTGCGTCCGAAACTATGCTAGATATTAGAAATGATTCACAGAGTAGCAAAATATCGTGTCGGTTCATTTGATATTATGTTGATAGCACAAAAAGAAAGTAATAGGTCAGTAGTTGGCAGGATCCGATCGATTACCACTTTGGCAAATCGGAGTAATGATTTCAGTTTTCTACTCAGCTGCGAGTGTATTGGAATCAAGCAGATATCGGAAAATGGCTGCTAGATGTACTGCTATGGTGGGGCAAGAGTTTTAAGAATCTTTGGGTAGATTTTGTCGAGACAATGCTGTCTTGCGACAGCTGATGGGTTAAAGATGACACAGTATAGGCCTACGACATTTGCTGGGAAGACATAGGGTGAACGCTGCATGGTGCTTGTAGCCAATGAGCCAAACTGCAGGAGTAGTGCGTTCGCGGTATCCACAGCAGTAGTCGGTAGGTCACTGGCCGTCTCGAGTGGTGGTATTCCAGTCTTAACCTGTAAAGCGGTTTGGAATTGCTGGTAAATTTGAGTGCCCTGGTCTCATACCATTCGTACGCGTCAGGATCTAATGAGTGACATGCAGTAGTTTCAAATCGTTTTGTAATTCACCCATGTGGCAGCACATGGGCCTAGCGCAAGTTGCTTCCAAATCTCACCTCTTATATTTATCCATGTACGCATTCCACTTCGGATCCAGATGTTGGTCCGGTGCTCTACTAGTATTGGCACAATATTTGAGACAGCTTGTATGATTAAATTAATTGTACCTTCGAATTCATTCCACGTGTCGTTCGCCGATCTGTGTACCTGGATGTCCAAGTCAACAATTGTCGCAAGATTTTGAAGCTTGGAATGGTCAGTAATAATTCGTCGAGTTTCTCATTCGTTATCAACAATAGTGGTAGTATACACGTAACCAAGCGTTAGGACTGTGTAATCGCTACCACGTAGTGGAGGGTCGTATGAAACAGGCTCAACCATCAACTCTTCATTAGTAAGGATTAAGTACAGAGGTGATGGCTTGTTTGAACCGCTGTGTCAGGTTGGTTATTGCACAAACTTATGCAAAAATAATATCAATGAACTCAAGCAGTTTTGATATGAAGAATGGCCTATCGGGGACCCTGGTACTTTAGGACGTACATTGAACTCGCCCATTACAAAGTAGAGCGAGTATCTTGTTCGAACAATATAGTAGAGAGAGAGTTAGACCGAATGACATCGTTGTCTGCGGAGGATTTTGGGGAGCTATAGACAACTACTGAGAGGCAAGAGTCAGGCGTCTTCTTCTGTGATCCACCATATCGACCTGTCAGCTGCATTTAACAAAATAAGACATGGGGAATAACAAGGGGATGCCCTAAAAGGACAGTACACGGTACCACCGCCAAGGCGAGATGGACGATCGTTCAGAATGATCAGCATTTCAATGAGTTCAATTTCGGATCTAGTATGTCGCCTGAGAGTCAAGCATCAG